GGCTTCATCTCCAGCCTTACAGTTTGTGACTACATGGGCCAGTATCAAGGGCAGTACCCTTCAGCCCAGACTTTTATGTTCCCATCTGTTTAGAAAGCTTCCAGGTTTTTTATGAAAGCAGCTTTGATGTTTTCCTCTTTTAATTTCCCTTGTGATTTTAGTCCACAGATTTTCCTCATTGGGCATACCCATAAACACTTCTCTGTTTTAATACTGCTTTTTTAGCTAGTTCTGGGATTATTCTGCACAAGGAGCGTGACACCAATTTCCACAAAAATGACAATTATCCATGTGGAAGCCCGTTTGTTTGACTGACCACAGGGCTACACACAGCTTCATAATGATTTGAATGGTTGATTTACTGCAATTCTACTAGCAACCTCTTGAATAATTTTATTAATAACCTTAAAAGAAGCTCTAGCTATTTGTATTTGTTTCTAACTCTTTTTGTATATTGGACAGCTTACCCTCACGTTCCTGATTTTTAATGTTTGTGTTTATAAGGGCGCCTTTCAACCCCTCCGTTTACAGTCTGCTTTTTTGTCCAACGAAACTGTTTGAAACCAGTCCCGGGTTCGGACCAATCAAGGGTTCGGGGCCAGTCAAGGGTTCGACCAGTCGATCTGCTCTGATCAGTGGGTCACTATTTAAAACATACTGGTCGGTGATTTGAGCTAACACATGAAGGATCTACTGGAAATTATCTAAACCCAGTATTTTGTGATTTGACTGAAAACAAAAGTATAACTTGCGTGTTGAAGAGCCGGTGATATCTGGCAGCTCCTACAATGACGTACAGTCGACCTCTTTGTTTATCAATCGCTGTATCTGGCTTTCTATTTTTTTTTTTTCCGTCTCCACCACAATAAAAGCTATATTATCACTATAGTTGACTGGTGCAAAAATTTTGGGGGAAGGACGCTTTTTCTGTAGTAATAATTGCTTCTTGTTGTGTTTTTGCGACCGCTGGTAATACAGGTTATATGAAATTCACAGTAAGCTCCCTATTCAAGAAAAAAAAACTAATGAAAGTCAACTCCACTCCACTAATACCATTATAATACTGGTAGTTGCTACTACAACACTGTATTCTGCTATTCACTGGTTTTCACTAGATTATATGCGAGTACACTAGCAGGCCCAGGAAGATTATTAAAAAGCTGACCCGTGGTAAGTTTCTGGCGACTTCTGGCACCTGCCTCTATAGGCTTATCACTTCATTTACAAATTCACCTGTTTTCAAATGACACTTTAGCCTTTATCATCAATATACTAGGGAGCCACTGTAGTATACACTATACACTATGTATACTCAATGCTTTCAGGGAGACTTTCTTTCCTCTGGGGTTACTTCTCTTCTTTGTTTTTTAATTGCACTAGGACAAGCTTGAGAGTCACTAGACCCATGTTGCACAAAATATCTATCCAGAGAGCTCTGTTTTGGCATGTCTTTAAGATTTCCCTAAAATTGGACACAGCATTGTCATTGTAGATGTTGCCAGCATGGCCTGCAACAGCTCTGTCAGAGTAATGTTCATCCATAAATACTTGCACCTTTGTCCACATTGTACAAATGTCCTTAATCATTTAAGAAGGCAACTTCTTCCATCTCTCTTCTTTCTCTGAAGCAAATTCCTGAGCTGTGATCTGTTGGTGTTACACATGAAGGTCTTGCAGCTCTGTAGTGGTTAGCTCTTCGTTGTGGTCCTCCCAAATGCCACAATACTTTCCACAATTGGCATAGACTCCTCAGGGTCTGCCCCAAACCATTCAAAATCCCCCTCTTGTACACATTTTGACTACAATTTTTTCCAAACAGAGTTCAAAGTCCTGGAAGTCACTTCCTCCTCAGCCTTACCTATAAGGTTTATGCAACTGAGGATACTGAAGTGATCTTTCCAGAACTCTGTTAGGGTCAATTCAGTGTCTGAGGTCACTTCAAAGCACTCTCAAAACACTGCTTTGGTGTACAGTTTTTTGAAATTTGATATGCCCTGCTGGTCCATGGGCTGGAGGAGAGGAGTGGTATTAGGAGGCAAAAACTTCACTTTGATGAAATGAAACTGGCACCATTCACTCTTCCAAGTGTGGAGGATGAGCAGGAGCATTGTCCATTACCAGGAGGCACTTGAGTTCCAATTTATTTTCCAGGAGGTATTTTTTCACACTGGGGCCCAAACACGTCATGGAAACAAATCAAGGAAAATGTCCCTCTTGACCCTTGCCTTACTGTTTACCCTCCACATCACACACAGTTTACTCTTGACACTGTTTTTCTTGAACACTCTGGGATTTTCAGACTGATACACAAGTAAAGGCTTCATTTTTCAAATCTCCACTAGCATTACTACAAAACATGAGTTAGCCTGTCTTTCATAGGCTTGTGTCCTGGGAGTGCCTTTTCCTCCTGAGAAATGTAGGTCCTCTTTGGTATTTTCTTTCAAAGGAGGCCTGTTTCGTCACAACTGAAAACTTGTTGGGGTTTTAATTTTTCAGTCTCTATGTACCCCTTGAAGTCCTGAATGTAGTTCTCAGCCACTTTTTTGTCAGAACTGGCAGCGTCACCATGCCTTATCACACTGTGTATGCCACTATGATTCTTAAATCTCTTAAACCAGCCTTTGCTGCCCTTTAAATTCCACCAGTATCAGTACTAGTTCCAAGCATTTGCTTTTTCACATGTAAATGACTGCATAACACTCTCTCCTGATAATTGTTTCTCATTGATTCACACCAACAACAAAGTCTCCCATCTTTGAGTATTTGGGGATCTTTGTTTTGTAAGCATATTTGCACCTTTTGCAACAACAGCTTCCTTGATTGCATTTTTGTTGGTCAAGATAGTAGCAATGGTTGTATGGGGTTTGTTATACACCCAGGCCAGCTGAGAGACACGCACTTCCCACTTTCGTATTTTGTGATGGTCTCTTTCTTGAATTCTGTAGTGTTTCTCACCCTTTTTACCAAGGCTGGCACTAGAACTTTTTTTTGGGCCCATGGTGACTCATTTAGCAGTTACAAGCACTAAAAACAATGGAATAATACAAAATGAAATCGCATGAATGGTGGGATCGTCCTCATGGCTGGTAAACAATGGTAACACTGGCTATGCATGAAGTGTCTGGGCCACTCAGGCCACGCGGACAGGTTTGGGATGAGTGACTTACACCGAGTTCAGTTTTTGTTCACTCAGCCAATATTTTGATGCAAAAACATTACTTATTCCAATTATTACTTATTCCAATGATATCTTAATCCGGGGTCCATTGTACTAAAGTGAATTCCCCAGACCTCTCTTTAGGGGTCAATTCAGTGTCCGAGGTCACTTCGAAGCACCTTTGAAACGCTGTTTTGGGTGAAAGAGTTTCTTGAAGTTACAAATGACCTGCTGGTCCTTGGGCTGGAGGAGAGAAGTGGTGTTAGGAGGCAAGAGCTTCACTGTTATAAAAATGAAGTCCCTAGATAATAGGTCTACCAAGTTTGGAGGATGACCAGGAGCATTGCCCAGTAACAGTCAGCACTTGAGTGGCAATTTATTTTCCAGGAGGTATTTTTTCACACTAGGGCCAAACACTTCATGAACCCACTCTTTGAAAATTTGCCTCTTGACCCATGCCTTATAATTAGCTGTCCACAACACACACAATTTACTCTTGATGACATTGCTTTTCTTGAACACTCTGGGATTTTCTGAGTGATACACCAGTAAAGGCTTTACTTTAAAATCCCCAATAGCATTAGCACAGAACAAAAGAGTTAGCCTGTCTTTCATAGGCTTATGTCCTGGCAATGCCTTTTCCTCCTGCGTGATGTAGGTCCTCTTTGGCATTTTCTTCCAAAACAGGCCTGTTTCTTCACAACTGAACATTTGTTGGGGTTTAAAATTTTCAGTCTCTACGTACCCCTTAAATTCATGAACGAATTTTTCAGCTGCACATTTATCTGAACTTGCAGCTCACTTTTGCCTTACCACACTGGTATTCAATAGCTTCTTTAATGTCTCAAACAAGCTTCTGCTGGCCTTAAATTCACTAGCATCAGCACTGGTTTCAGACATTTTCTTTACAAGATCGGCATGCAACTGCCTTGCCTTTTCACAAATGATCAACTCCGATACACTATCAGCCACTTTCTGTTTATTGATTGATCCACACTAGCAACAACTTCTCAGCCTATTCGATTGTTTGTGATCTGTTTTTGATTAATATTCAACACCTTCTGCAACATCAGCTTCCTTGATTTCTTTTCTCTTTGTCAGGATAGAAGTGACTGTTGATTTGTTTTTGCCATACAACTGGGCAAGCTCCACCACACACACACCACTCTCATGTTTCTTTTTTCACATCTATGGTGTTTCTCACTTTCTTTACCAAAGGGCTTCCGCTAGGAAGTTTCTTTGGGCCCGTTGTTACTTGTGTAGCAGTCACACTCAAACAACAAGCACAAAACACAATGAATTATATTGTAAAATGTTTAGATGAGCACTCAAGGATAAACAAAGGCTCACTGACTCATGATGCCGGTGCGAGTAGGTGCACAGGCACAGACAGGCAGACAGGTCTGGTACGCGAGCTGAAACACAGAGCACAGTGTTTAAAAACCCGGACCAAAATTTAAGCTGAAAAAAAGGTCTAGACTTGAAACCTCCGGTACTCAGGGTGGCCGAAACTTGAGGGTCCACTTTACTTCCATTTTCCTCTTCCAAGTGCTGCTGTACTCTGGGGTGCATAAATTTGTACAAATATGTAGTCTTGGAGACTTTAAAAGCTAGTGTACTGAATGGCTGTAAGAAGGAGATTGAGATGCTTGATGCTAAGACGCTTTCACTGCTCATTTCTGTGAACCCAAGTTATCAAATGACATAAAATACTGACTTGTCAGAGAGCCCATCATAACTCCGGGTTGTTGGTAAACGAGTACATCGGTAAGTGAGGAGAGGCTGTATGTTATGTTGATAATGATAGAATAGTGTACTATTCTGACTCATGTTTCTATTGCAGAAGTATTTTGTGGAAGACCACTACCAAGTTGTATCTTCCAAGTACATCAAGAAACATCTGTTTTGTTTAACAACCACTACTGCAGAAGAATTTTCTGGAACACTACCAGGTTGTACCTGAATGAGCACCATACCTTCAATATTGCAAGAACACCAACACTTGTGATTCTGATGAATTTTTAACTGGCCTTCAGTATTGCAAGAAGAGCATCACTTGTGATTCTGATTTTTTTTAATTGGCCTTGCATTATTAATAATAAAAAAATTTCATAAATAGAATTCTCTCTGAAAATTTCAAGGCAGTTCAAAGAAAAATAAAAGTTAGTAATGCTGTAGTTAACAATTTTCAGAAAATGCATGTTTAAACTTAAGAAAAAATGTTCTTCAGTGTATCTGCAGAATTCTAATACTTATGTTAGTCATTTTACAAACGAACAAAAATTATTGCAGTTCTTTAAGTTAAAAAATAAACTTAATTAGAGAAATAGTTTTGTAGCCTGGTAATATATTCATGTGGAAAACTGTGTCTTCAGTGTCCAAAATAGTTTAACAAAAAGTAAATCTTGAAAAATACATAAGAGTACATAAGAAAGATTAATGATACCACTGTTGAATAACTAAAATATTTTAAAATGAAATACCTTCTCTTGAAAATTATGAAACATAAAGGAAATAAACCATATCAGTGTTCAGAATGTCTGAAATGTTTTAGTATAAAAAGCCATCTTGTAACACATATGCGAGTACATACAGGAGAAAAACCATTTCAGTGTTCAGAGTGTCTGAAATGTTTTAGTGTAAAAAGCCATCTTGTAACACATATGCGAGTACATACAGGAGAAAAACCATTTCAGTGTTCAGAGTGTCTGAAATGTTTTAGTGTAAAAAGCTATCTTGTAACACATATGCAAGTACATACAGGAGAAAAACCATTTCAGTGTTCAGAGTGTCTGAAATGTTTTAGTGAAAAAGGCAGTCTTGTGAGACATTTACAAGTACACTCGGGAGAGAAACCATTTCAATGTTCAGAGTGTCTGAAATGTTTTAGTGGAAAAGGTAGTCTTGTGAAACATAAACGAGTACATACAGGAGAAAAACCATTTCAGTGTTCAGAGTGTCTGAAATGTTTTAGTGTAAAAGGCAGTCTTGTGAGACATTTACAAGTACACTCAGGAGAGAAACCATTTCAATGTTCAGAGTGTATGAAATGTTTTAGCTTAAAAAGCAGTCTTGTTCAGCATATGCATGTACACACAGGAGATAAACCATTTCAGTGTTCAGAGTGTCTGAAATGTTTTACTGAAAAAGGTAGTCTTATGAAACATAAACGAGTACATTCAGGAGATAAACCATTTCAATGTTCAGAGTGTCTGAAATGTTTTACTGAAAAAGGTAGTCTTATGAAACATAAACAAGTACATTCAGGAGATAAACCATTTCAATGTTCAGAGTGTCTGAAATGTTTTAGTAAAAAGGGCAATCTTTTGACTCATATGCAAATACATACAGGAGATAAACCATTTCAATGTGCAGAGTGTCTGAAATGTTTCAGTCAAAAGGGCAGTCTCTTGAATCATATGCAAATACATACAGGAGATAAACCATTTCAATGTACAGAGTGTCTGAAATGTTTTACTGTAAAAGGCAGTCTTGTGACACATATGCGAATACATGCAGGAGATAAACCATTTCAATGTACACAGTGTCTGAAATGTTTTACTGTAAAAGGCAGTCTTGTGACACATATGCGAAAACATACAGGAGATAAACCATTTCAATGTGCAGAGTGTCTGAAACGTTTTACTTTAAAAGGCAGTCTTGTGAGACATATGCGAAAACATACAGGAGATAAATCATTTCAGTGTTCAGAGTGTCTGAAATGTTTTATTGTAAAGAGCCATCTTGTGTCACATATGCGAATACATACAGGAGAAAAACCATTTCAGTGTTCAGAGTGTCTGAAATGTTTTATTGTAAAGAGCTATCTTGTGTCACATATGCGAATACATACAGGAGAAAAACCATTTCAGTGTTCAGAAGTGACTGAAATGTTTTATTGTAAAGACCAACTATGTGGTCACATATGCGAATACAACAGGAGAAAAACCAATTGCAGTTTTCAGAGTGTCTGAAATGTTTTTAGGTGTAAAAGTAGTCTTGTAAACATAAAAAACGAGTGCATACAGGAGATAAACCAATTTCAGAGTTCAGGAGTCCTGAAATGTATTACTGCAAAAGATAGTCTTATGAAACATAAACGCGTACAATCATAGATAAAATCATTCAACGTTCGTGTGGTCTGAAATGTTTTAGTCAAAAGGGCAATCTTTAGACTCAAATGCAAATACATACAGGAGATAAACCTTTTCAGTGTGCAGAGTGTCCTGAAATGTTTTCAGTCCAAAAATTCCAGTCTTGTGAAACATATGGTAAACACACCAGGATGAAAACAAATTACAGTGGTTCAGAGTGTCTGAATGTTTTAATAGGAAAAGGTAAATCTTAATGTCACATAAGCAAAAACATACAGGACATAAACCATTTCAGTGTTCAGAGTGTCCGAGATGTTTTTAACTGAAAAAGGCAGTCTAGTGAGACTATGGCAGCTCCACACAGGAAAAAAACCATTTCAGTGTTCAGAGTGTCTGAGATGTTTTGCTGTAAAACACTATCTTGTGAAAAACACAATGCGAGTACATACTGAGATAAAACATGTAGTGTTTAATGTTCAGATTATTCATTATAAACATAATAAATTTATATACTTTTTTTTTATAACTTCCAAAACAAAAAAAAATTTGGGGCCATTTCCCTCCAAGGAAGGGTGAGCCCATAAAAGTAAAACATTCATGACATCATTCCTCCATCACTATCTTGCCAGATGTGAGGCTTACACTAGAGTTATAAAAAAAACTCGCAAGCATTAAAACACCCCTCCTTCAATTTATATGCTGTACTTCCATCTCTCAGAACGCAAGTCCGAGCCTACCCGGTTTTCTCAGAATCCATTCAGAAATGTTACCTTCCCCTCACAGACGAACAGCACATCAAGTCCTAAAATCTATTTTGTCTCCTTTCGCTCCTATCTACCATGCTCACACATGCTGGAAGTCCAAGCCCTTAGCCTACAACACCTCCCTTTACCCCTTTCCTTCCATCTTTCTCCTGAGGATGACCTCTACCCTGCCATCCCTCCACTACAAATTATACAGTCCTTGAAGTCTTTCTATTACCACCTCAACAACCCCTCCTCACTCTCTGGTAATACTTTAGTAATCCACACCACCTAATTTTCCACACTACAAATCTTGAACTTCTTTGCATTATTTCACACCACCCGCTTACCCTCAGACATGACATCTCTTACTGCCTCCAGCCTTCTCCTTGTTGCAACATTCACTACCCAATGCTTCACACCATTAAAGAGTGTTGGTATAATTTAACTATACTCTCATACATTCCCCTCTTTGCTTCCATGGTGAAAGTTCTTTGTCACCATTTTTTTTTTTTGTGCACTACACACCTTTTTTCCTCTCAAATTCTATGATTCACAATTCAACTTTCAAAGACCCATCTGCTGACACTTCACTCCCAATTATCTGAAAACATTCACCTACTCCATATAATCTCTCTCCAATTCTGATATCTAATCTTTTTCCTATTGTTTTTTGTTAAAACCTCACACCTTACACTATCCTATAGTCACTTTTAATTTCCTCTTTTATGTATCTACCAAACTCATCCAGAAACCATCTGAAACTCCTCTTCAGATTCCTCGCATAGCACAGTGTCCATCAGCAAAGAGCACGAGAGAAATCCTCCCAACTCAGTATGCTCAGGTCAGTGGTCACACTGCTGTCATACCTGCCTAAGCTCTTGGAGTTAGCGTGGGCTGTTACTAAAGCACCCCCAAAGGACTTGTTGTAGTGCTTTAGAATCCAGTTCAAGTGTTGAAGAAGGAGATTTTGCTTCTTCAGGAGGAAAAAAGGAGGCTGAATAGCTTCGCAAAGATGGTAAGGGGGGGAAGGAAATGGTCACCAGCAGTGCTAGTGCAGCCGCTTTTGCAAGTGGTTCAATAGTTCAGAAGAAGGAAGATGAGGAGAGTTAATAGAAAAGATGTGAAGGTAGTAAATCGATTCACAGTTCCCGAGGTGTGCTATCAGTGGTTTATGAGGTTGAAGGCAACCACTGATTCCCCTGAATCAAGGGAAAGAATATTTTTAACAGGCGATCCTCAGGTAAGAAAAGGACAGTCATTTGTAACAGGACAGAAAAGTCAGACAGAGAAGTGTGCTTTCCCGGAGCAGGTGTATGGTGACAATAGACAGCAAGTTTGGATAATATTATGCACCGTCTGGAACAAGCCCATTATCTGTCTTAATGCTAGGGATAATGACAATGGGAATGGCAGGAGAGAGAGCTGCTGGAAAGTACAGGTTAGCCATAGAATAGTTAGGTCCTAAGAGGGGATCCCAGTCATATGTAGCATCTTGCCTAAAAGGGAGTGGGCAATGAAATGATGTATAGGGCAATTGGTACAAAATTGCTGCTAGACAGGTACTGCAAGGAAACTTTCAATCCCATTCATTGATAACTAGGACCTATTCCTTGGCCAACATGAATGTATGCAAGGATGGGTTTTCCATCTCTCTAGGGAAGGAGTAGTTGCATTAGCCATTTCAATTGAGAGGGTAACTGATGACGTGTCTAGGAATTAAACTGATAGATATAGAGGTATGGTTGTTTTTGGGAAACAATCCAGGCTGCCGCATTTGGGTTAAAAATAGCAGTTATTACAAGGAAACCTCAGGGATATGTTTAAAAGACAATATTCAAAATAAATTTTTAGTAAATGGCTATCATTGATCAACAAACAAAGAGAGATAGTAGAGGGCAAGGAGTGAGTAGCTCCCTTAAGGTTTACTATACAAATAGTAGGAGTCTAAGAAATGAATAGATGAGCTAAAATTACTTCAAGTGTAGGTAATATAGATATTAATTGTATAACAGAGACCTGGTTCAACCAGAAAAGAGAGAAATGCCTTCTGAATGCAACATACAGGGTGATAAGCTATTCCACACTGAGGCTTAGCGCTTCTTTTTTGATTATAATAATAATAATATTCCACACTGATAGGGTCAACAGGAAGGGTGGTGGTGTGGGGCTATGTATGTCAGAGAAATTTAATTGTTGCTAGACATGATATAAGATTAGAAACTCAAACACAGAATCTGTTGCTACAGTTTTCTCGAGGGACGTGACAAATTTATTTTGGGTGTGATTTATAGGCCCCCAAACCTTGATATGGAGGGCGGTAAGAGCAGTAGGACAAAATTCATAAGCATCTAGATATGAAAATGTTTGAGATAATTGGAGATTATAACTTTACACAATTGATTTGGAATAATATGAAGAAATCTTGAGTCTAGTGATTTTCTTGAAAACGGTTTCAGGATTGCTTTTCGAACACAGGTTGTGACATAACCAACTAGAGGACAAACAATCTGCCTTGACTTGGTTCTTGGGCCAACAAAGATTCACTCATAATAATCTTGAGGTTAATGATGATCTTGGGGAAAGTGAACCCAAATCCTTAGTTTCATATATAATGGAATTGCCCAATAACTGCAATCAAATCTCTGTCCCAGATTTTCTCTTGCCGATTCATGGGACTGAAAATTACCTGGGTGGGCTAAATTGGGATGTCCTAATAATGGTCAGGTAGGTTATCTTTGTTGCCAAAAGAGGTCCCCCCCCCCCTTTTCAGAGCATAGTTTCTATCTGCCCAGACAACTTTTGTTCTGAGTAAGGGAAATTAGATCTAACAAAAATGATCCCAAAGGATGAACAATAGATTAAAACCTTCTCCTTGGTCAAAAGAGAGGCATATAAATGTTGTATCAAAAGAGGGGAATGGAACAGTTAAGAATTCAATATATTCAGTAAAGAGAGAAATAAAAAAAGGGAGTAAGAAAATCAAAAAAGATTATGAGGCTAAGGTTTTAAAGTGATTCAAAGATTAACCCAAAAGGGTTTCTTTCAGGATAGTCAAAGTAAGATTAGGACATAGATTGACACCAGATCACGACAGTGAAAAAGGAATGTTGTGAAAATTCTCAATACCTAACTTTCCTCTCAGTTTCACCTGGAAAATACCAGCAATATTCCCGAAATGATAGATTATGTAGAAACAGAATGATAAACAATGTTAAAATTGCAGTAAACAAGTGACAGGTACTCAAGACAAATAGAGGAAACTAAAACCTAACAATCGCCCCGGCCCTTGATGAACTGTTGCAAGGGTGTTAAAGGAATGTAAAGAGGATCATAGCATACTTTGGCTAAATCTTTTAACATATCACTAAAACTGGCATCGTGCCTGATAAGTGGAGAATGCAAATGTAATAATCCTCTTTAACAAGGCAGGTGACAGGTCCTTGGCTTGAACTAATGAGGCATTAAGCTTACCTCCATAGTGGGAAAAATTTATGGAATCACTAATATGCTGAAGCACTTCCTACCAATCTAGACAGCACAGATTGAGTAACGAAACTCAACAACGGTTTTAACCAAGGGGCATTTCTGTCTTATGAATTTACTAATCTTTTATCACTAAGGTGGTTTTGAAGGAGGTAGATCATTGTATGAATATGATAATGTGTATATGAACTTCGTAAAGGCTCTCAATAGAGTTTCCACACCACAGCTATTGAGAAAACTTAAGGCACACAGGAATAGGAGGAGAAATTTTTTCCTGGTAGAAGGCATGCTACAAATAGACAGCCGCGGTTTTGCATAAATGGGAAGAAATCAGAATGGGGGGCACATCACAAGCGGTGTTCCACAAGATCATGTTGGCCCTTGTTCACAATTTACATAAACGACATAGATGAGGGAATAAATAGTCACATAAGTCAAATTTGCTGAGACACCAAAATAGGGGCCATCCAATTCAATTCTAAAGAGGCACTAGAGCACTCCAGATGATTTGAATAGACTGATGCAAATGGCGCAGAATTTTGGCAGATGCAGTTTAATATTGACAAATGCAAATTCTAAATTGTTTGACAGTTTAACCATGCGACATATAAAAACTAAATAATGTAAGAACTTAATACTACTGATTGCAAG